TGCATAAAATATGTAATGATATCAATTTGTACAAAACTTTTTCTGTCTTTAATTCAAGACGTTCCTACCTTTTTGCGGTTCCAGTGTAGTGGTTATCCCTTCGTTACACGCAAAAAGGGCTCCGGTTCGATCCCGGGCGGGAAAAACCCGGGTGTTTTTTTTTATCCAGGAATGGTTGCAGGGGGGAATACGCATGGAATTACCGAGGGGATAATTCTTATTTTTTCTGTACGCTTTACTTTAATCCGTATAATATATGGGAATGATATCTAATTTAGTGACAACTTTAAATCTTTTTTAATTCAAGACGTTCCCCACCCTTTTTGGGTTCTAGGTAGTGGTTATCACGTTCGCTTCACACCGGGAAAGGCCCCGTTGATCCCCGGGCTGAAAAGCGCGGGTGTTTTTTTTATCCCGGAATGCGTTGCGGTGAATACGCTAGGAATTCCCCGGGGATAATTCTTATTTTCCGGGACCTTTTTTTCCGGGTAAAAATGGCAATGATATCAATTTAGTGAAAAATTTAAATCTCTCTTTAATTAAGACGTTCCCCACCTTTGTGCGGTTCCGAGTTTTAGTGGTTATCACGTTCGCTTCCAAAACGAAAAGGGCTCGTTCGATCCCCGGGCGGAACCAAAGCCGATGTTTTATTTATCCACGGAATGCGTTGCAGGGTGAATACCATAATTACGCGAGGGGGGAATTTTTATTTTTCTTTCGCTTTCTTTAATCCCGGGTATATGGCAATGATATCAAAATTTGTGACAAGCTTTAAATCCTTTTTAATTCAAGACGTTCCCCACCTTTTGCGTTCCGTAGTGTAGTGGTTTTCCCGCGCTTCAAGCGAAAGGTCTCCGTTCGATCCCGGACGGAACCAAAGCCGGGTTTTTTTTTATCCCCCGGAATGCGTTGCAGGGTGAATAGCTATGGAATTCACGCGAGGATAATTTTTTTTATGTACCTTTTTTTAATCCGGCATAATATTGGCGTATCTTTTAGTGACAAGCTTTTAAAAATGTCTCTTTAAATTTAAGACGTTCCCTACCTTTGCGGTTCCGTAGGTAGTGGTTTTCGTTCGCTTCAACGAAAGGTCTCGGTTGATCCCCACGGAACCAAGGGAGTGTTTTTTTTATCCCCCGGAATGGTTGCAGGGGTGAATACGCTATGGAATTCACGCGAGGGGGTAATTTTTATTTTTTTGTACGCTTTACTTTTCACGGCAAAAAATATGGCAATGATATTAATTTGTGACAACTTTAAATCTTTCTTTAATTGACGTTCCCTACCTTTGTGGGGTTTGAGTGTAGTGGATCACGTTCGCTTCACGCGAAAAGGGCTCCGTTCGTCGGACGGCAAAGCCGGGTGTTTTAATCCCCGGAATGCGTTGCAGGTGAATACCCCTTTTAATTCCCGAGGATAATTTTATTTTTAGTACGCTTTATTTTTAAACCGGCATAATTATGGCAATGATATCTAATTTAGTGACAAGCTTTAAATCTGTCTCTTTAATTCAAGACGTTCCTACCTTTGTGCGGTTCCGTGTGTAGTGGGAAATTTTTCCGTTCGCTTCACCAAAAGGTCTCCCGGGTTTGATCCCGGACGGGGAAACCCAAAGGCCGGGTGTTTTTTTTATCCACGGAATGCGTTGCAGGGGGAAAAACGCATGGAATTCACGCGAGGAAATTTTTTTTTTTAAGTACCTTTACTTTAAACACGGCATAATATATGGCAATGATATCTAATTTAGTGACAAGCTTTAAATCTGTTTTTTTAATTCGACGTTCCCTACCTTTTGCGGTTCCGTAGTGTAGTGGTTTTTCACGTTCGCTTCCAGCGAAAGGTCCGGGTTTGATCCCGGGGGACCAAGGGAGTGTTTTATTTATCCCCCGGAATGGGAGGGTTAATACGCTAGGAATTCACCCAGGGATAATTTTTTTTTTTGTACGCCCTTTTAAACACGGGATAATATATCAAAGATATCTAATTTGTGACAAGCTTTAATTTTGTCTCTTTAAACAAAGCTTCCTATTTTTTGCGGTTCCGTGTGTAGTGGTTTATCACGTTCGCTTCCACACGCGAAAGGGCTCCGGGTTGATCCCGGACGGAACCAGGGCCGGAGTGTTTTCTTTATCCCCCGGGAAAGCGTTTTGGGGGGAATACGCATAATTACCGGGGGGGATAATTTTTTTTGACGCTTTTCTTTAATCCGTGCATAATATTGTAATGATATCTAATTTAGTGACAACTTTAAATCGTCTCAATTCAAGACGTTCCCCACCTATTGTGCGGGTTCCCTTTTTAGTGGTTATCACTTCGCTTAAAGCAGTCTTTCCGTCCGGCGGCCAAGGGCCGGGTGTTTTTTTTATCCACGGAATGGGTTTCGGGTGAATACGCATGGAATTCAGCGGGATAATTTTTTTTTTTGTACGCTTTACTTTTAAACACGGCTAATATTTCAATATATCTAATTTATGAAAGCTTTAACTTTTTTTTAATTCAAGACGTTCCCTACCGTGCGGTTCCGTAGTGAGTGGTTATCCCCTTCGCTTCACCGCGAAAGGTTTCCCCTTCGACCCCACGGAACCAAGGGGGGGGTGTTTTTTTTATCCACGGAATCTTTTAGGGTTTAATCGCTTAATTCACCGAGGGGTAATTCTTTTTTTTATTTTACGCTTTACTTTAATCGGCATAATATATGCAATGATACAATTTAGTGACAAGCTTTAAATCTGTCTCTTTAATTTAAGACGTTCCTACCTTTTGCGGTTCCGTAGTGTAGTGGTTATCACTTCGCTTCCCGCGAAAGGTCTCGGGGTTTGACGGGCGGAACCAAAGGGGGGAGTGTTTTATTTATCCACGGAATGCGGCGGGTGAATACGCTATGGAATTCACGCGAGGATAATTCTTATTTTTTGACCATTTAATCCGGGATAATATATGCAATGATATCAAATTTGTGACAAGTTTAAATCTGTTCTTTTAACAAGACGTTCCTACCTTTTGCGGTTCCCCAGTGTAGTGGTTATCACTTCGCTTCAACCGAAAGGTTCCGTTCGACGGACGGGAAACCCAAGGCCGGAGTGTTTTTTTTATCCACGGAATGCGTTGCGGGTGAATACGCATGGAATTCACGGGGGGATAATTCTTATTTTTGTACGCTTTACTTTAATCCTCTAAATATGCAATGATATCTAATTTAGTGACAACTTTAAAACTGTCTCTTTTTAAATTTAAAACGTTCCTACCTTTGTGCGGTTCCGTAGTGGGTGGTTTCACGCGCTTCACACCGAAAAGGGTTCCGTTCGACCCCGGGCGGAACCAAAACCGGAGTGTTTTATTTTTTCCCACGGGAAAGCGTTTTTGGGGGGAATCGCTATGGAATTCACCGGGGATACTTTTTTTTATGTACGCACTTTTCAACGTGCAAAAAAAATGCTGATATCAATTTAGTGACAAGCTTTAAATCTTCTCTTTAAACAAGACGTTTCCCACCTTGTGCGGTTCCGTAGTGTGGGGGTTATCACGTTCCTTCACCGAAAAAGGGCCCGGTTGACCCCGGGCGGGAACCAAAGGCCAGGTTTTTTATTTATCCCAGGAATCGTTCAGGGGGGAATACGCATGGAAAAACACGCGAGGATAATTCTTATTTTATTTTACGCTTTACTTTAATCACTGCATAAAATAGAATGATATCAATTTGGTTAAACTTTAATTTTGTCTCTTTTTAAATTTAAAAGGTTCCTACCTATTGTGCGGTTCCGTGGGGTAGTGGTTATCCCTTGCTTCAAAGCGAAAAGGGCTGGTTCGATCCCGGGCGGGAACCCCGGAAATGTTTTACTTTTTCCCAGGGAAACGTTTTTCAGGGGGAAAACCCATGGAATTACGCGGGATAATTTATTTTTATTTAGCTTTACTTTTCACTGCATAATATATGTCAATGATATCATTTTGTGTACAAGCTTTTTAAATTTTGTCTCTTTAATTCCGTTCCCCACCTTTGTGCGGTTCCGTAGTGTAGTGGTTATCACGTTCCCTTCCACGCGAAAAGGGTTCCCGGGTTTGATCCCGGACGGAACCAAACCGGGTGTTTTATTTATCCCCCGGAATGCGTTGCATAATACGCGGAATTCCCCGGGGGGTAAATTTTATTGTACGCTTTTTTTAATCACTGCAAAAATTATGTGTTCTTTTGGGTGTACAAGCTTTTTTGCCTTTTTCAAGAAAGGGCCCCCCCAATTTTCGGCCCGGGGGTTGGGTTTCATTCGCTTCACCGCGAAAGGTCTCCGGTTCCCCATCACGGAACCAAGCCGGGTTTTTATTTTATCCCACGGAAGCGTTTGCGGGTGAAACGCATGGTTCACCGATAATTTTTTTTTTTTACCTTTTTTTAAACGGTTTTTCTTGATACAAATTTTTCCTTTTTTTTCTGTCTCTTTTTTAAAACGTTCCCACCAAATTTTTCGTTCCCTAGGGAGTGGTTAACGGTTCCCGCGAAGGTCCCATCCCGGGGGGAAACCCAACCATGTTTTTTTATCCCCCGAATTGTTGCAGGGGGAAACCTTTTGGGAAATTCACGCGGGGATAATTCTTTTTTTTTGTACGCTTTCTTTTCCGGGATAATTTTCAAGATATCAATTTTTTGGAAACGCTTTTTAAAACTTCTTTTAATTAAACTTCCCTATTTTTCTTCCGGTGAGTTTTTCCCCTTGCCCAAGGAAATCTCCGGGTTGTTTGGCGGACAAAACCCGGGGGTTTTTTTTATCCACGGGAAAGCGTTTCGGGGGGGAAACGCATGGAATTCACCGGGGGGGAATTCTTAAAATTTACCTTTTCTTTAACCCGTAAATTATGTCAATGATTCTTTTGTCCGGGGTTTTTTTTTCTTTAAACAAGCTTCTACCTATTTGGGGGTTTATGTAGTTTGGTTTATTACGTTCGCTTAAGGAAAGGTTTTCCGTTCGATAGGAACCAAGGCCAGGGGGTTTTTTTTTTCCCCCGGAAAGGTTGCGGGTGAATACCATGGAATTCACGCGGGGATATCTTTTTTATGTACCTTTACTTTAATCACGTGCTAATATATGTAAAATTTTAATTTGTGCAAAGCTTTAATTCTGTTTTTAATTTAAGACGTTCCCTACCTATTGCGGTTCCGTGTGTAGTGGTTATCACGTTCCTTCACACGCGAAAGGTCTCGGGTTTTTTCGGGCGGAACCAAAACCGGGTGTTTTATTTATCCCCCGGAATCGTTCAGGGGTGAATACGCTATGGAATTCACGCGAGGATAAATTTTATTTTATTTTACCTTTCTTTTTAAACACTGCTAATATTGTCAATATATCTAATTTAGTGTACAAGCTTTAATTTTGTCTCTTTAATTCAAGCGTTCCCCACCTATTGTGCGGTTCCGTAGTGTGTGGTTATCCCTTCGCTTCACACGCGAAGGTCCCCGGTTGATCCCGGGCGGAACCAAGCCCGGGTGTTTTTTTTTATCCCCGGAATCGTTTCAGGGTGAATCCTTAATTCACGCGGGATAATTTTTTTTTGTCGCTTTACTTTAATCCCTGCTAATATATGTGGGATATCTAATTTGTGACAACAATTTTGTCTCTTTAATTCAAGACGTTCCCCCCCTTTTTGCGGGGTTTCCCTGTGTAGTGGTTATCACTTCGCTTCCAAAGCGAAAGGTCTCTTTGTCCCGGGCGGAACCAAGCCCGGGGTTTTTATTTATCCCAGGAATGCGTTTTCAGGGTGTCGCTATGGAATTCCCCGGGGAAATTTTATTTTACGTACGCTTTTCTTTTCCCCTGCATTATATGAATGATATCTAATTTGGGGTACAAGTTTAAAAACTGTCTCTTTAATTCAAGACGTTCCCCACCTTTGTGCGGTTCCTAGTGTAGTGGTTATCACGTTCCTTACGCAAAAGGTCTCCCCTTCATCGACGGGAACCCAAGGGCCGGGGTGTTTTTTTTATCCCCCGGAATGCGTTGAGGGGGAATACGCTATGGAATTCACGCGGGGATAACTTATTTTTATTTTCCTTTACTTTAAACCTGGGAAAATATGGCAAAAATATCTAATTTAGTGACAAGCTTTTAAATCTGTCTCTTTAATTCAAGACGTTCCCCACCTATTTGTGCGGTTCCGTAGTGTAGTGGTTATCACGTTCGCTTCACACGCGAAAGGTCTCCGGTTCGATCCCGGACGGAACCAAGCCGGGGTGTTTTATTTTATCCCAGGAATGCGTTGCAGGGTGAATACGCTATGGAATTCACGCGAGGGGGTAATTTTATTTTATGTACGCTTTACTTTAATCACGTGCATAATATATGCAATGATATCTAATTTAGTTAAAAAGCTTTAAATTTTGTCTCTTTAATTCAAGACGTTCCCTACCTTTGTGCGGTTCCGTAGTGTGGGTTATCACGTTCGCTTCACGCGAAAGGTCTCCGGTTCGATCCCGGACGGAACCAAGGCCGGAGTGTTTATTTATCCCACGGAATGCGTTTGCAGGGTGGGAAAACGCTATGGAATTCACGCGAGGGGGTAATTATTTTACTTTTACGCTTTACTTTAATCACGTGCCTAATATTTGTCAATTTATATCTAATTTAGTGTACAAGCTTTAATCTGTCTCTTTTAAATTTAAGACGTTCCCTACCTTTTGTGCGGTTCCGTAGTGTAGTGGTTATCACGTTCGCTTCACACGCGAAAGGTCTCCGGTTTGATCCCGGACGGAACCAAGGCCGGAGTGTTTTACTTTATCCACGGAATGCGTTGCAGGGTGAATACGCTATGGAATTCACAAGGGGATAATTCTTATTTTATTTTACGCTTTACTTTAATCACGTGCATAATATATGGGCAATGATATCTAATTTAGTGTACAAGCTTTTAAATCTGTCTCTTTAATTCAAGACGTTCCTACCTATTGTGCGGTTCCGTAGTGTAGTGGTTATCACGTTCGCTTACCACGCGAAAGGTCTCCGGGTTTGATCCGGGCGGAACCAAAGGGGCCCGGGGTGTTTTATCCACGGAATGCGTTGCAGGTTTAATACGCTATGGAATTACGCGAGGGGGTAATTTTATTTTTTTTGTACGCTTACTTTAATCACGTGCATAATATATGGCAATGATATCTAATTTAGTGTACAAGCTTTAAATCTGTCTCTTTAATTCAAGACGTTCCATACCTATTGTGCGGTTCCGTAGTGTAGTGGTTATCACGTTCGCTTCACACGCGAAAGGTCTCCGGTTCGATCCCGGACGGAACCAAAACCCGGAGTGTTTTATTTTATCCCACGGAATGCGTTGCAGGGTGAATACGCATGGAATTCACGCGGGGGAAAAATTTATTTTATTGTACGCTTTACTTTAATCACGTGCATAATATATGCAATGATATCTAATTTAGTGTACAAGCTTTAAATTTTGTCTCTTTAATTCAAGACGTTCCCTACCTTTGTGCGGTTCCGTAGTGTAGTGAGTTATCACGTTCGCTTCACACCGAAAGGTCTCCCGGGTTTGATCCCGGACGGAACCAAGGCCGGGGTGTTTTATTTTTTCCACGGAATGCGTTGCAGGGGGGAATACGCTATGGGAAATTTACGCGAGGATAATTTTATTTTTATTTTACGCTTTACTTAATCACGTGCATAATATATGGAATGATATCCTAATTTAGTGAACAAGCTTTAAATCTGTCTCTTTAATTCAAGACGTTCCCTACCTTTGTGCGGTTCCGTAGTGTAGTGGTTATCACGTTCGCTTCACACGCGAAAGGTCTCCGGTTTGATCCCGGACGGAACCAAGCGCCGGAGTGTTTTATTTTATCCCACGGAATGCGTTGCAGGGTGAATACGCTATGGAATTCACGCGAGGGGATAATTCTTATTTTTAATGTACGCTTTACTTTAATCACGTGCATAATATATGGCAATGATATCTAATTTAGTGTACAAGCTTTAAATCTGTCTCTTTAATTCAAGACGTTCCATACCTATTGTGCGGTTCCGTAGTGTAGTGGTTATCACGTTCGCTTTACACGGGAAAGGTCTCCGGTTCGATCCCGGACGGAACCAAGGACCGGAGTGTTTTATTTTATCCCCCGGAATGCGTTTAGGGTGAATACGCTATGGAATTCACGGAGGATAATCTTATTTTACTGTACGCTTTACTTTAATCACGTGCATAATATATGGCAATGATATCTAATTTAGTGTACAAGCTTTAATCTGTCTCTTTAATTCAAGACGTTCCCTACCTCTTGTGCGGTTCCGTAGTGTAGTGGTTATCACGTTCGCTTCAACGCGAAAGGTCCCGTTGATCCCGGACGGAACCAAGCCCGGAGTGTTTTATTTTATCCCCCGGAATGCGTTGCAGGGTGAATACGCTATGGAATTCACGCGAGGATAATTCTTATTTTTACTGACCTTTACTTTAATCACGTGCATAATATTGGCAATGATATCTAATTTAGTGTACAAGCTTTAAATTTTGTCTCTTTAATTCAAGACGTTCCCTACCTATTGTGCGGTTCCGTAGTGTAGTGTTATCACGTTCGCTTCACAGCGAAAGGTCTCCCGGGTTTGATCCGGACGGAACCAAGCCCGGAGTGTTTTACTTTTATCCACGGAATGCGTTGCAGGGTGAATACGCTATGGAATTAACTGAGGGATAATTTTATTTTTAATACGCTTTACTTTAATCACGGCCCTAATATATGGCAATATATCTAATTTAGTGTACAAGCTTTAAATCTGTCTCTTTAATTCAAGACGTTCCCACCTTTGTGCGGTTCCCTAGTGTAGTGGTTATCACGTTCGCTTCACACGCGAAAGGTCTCCCGGTTCGACCCGGACGGAACCAAGCGCCGGAGTGTTTTATTTTTTCCCACGGAATGCGTTGCAGGGTGAATACGCTATGAATTCACGCGAGGATAATTCTTATTTTAAGTACGTTTACTTTTTAAACACGGGATAATATATGGCAATGATTATCTAATTTAGTGTACAAGCTTTAAATCTGTCTCTTTAATTCAAGACGTTCCCTACCTATTGTGCGGTTCCGTAGTGTAGTGGTTATCACGTTCGCTTCAACGCGAAAGGTCTCGGGTTTTGATCCCGGACGGAACCAAGCCCGGGTGTTTTATTTTATCCCCCGGAATGCGTTGCAGGGTGGAATACGCTATGGAATTCCCCGCGAGGGGTAATTTTATTTTACTGTACGCTTTACTTTAATCACGAGCATAATATATGGCAATGATATCTAATTTAGTGAACAAGCTTTAAATCTGTCTCTTTAATTCAAGACGTTCCCTACCTCTTGTGCGGTTCCGTAGTGTAGTGGTTATCACGTTCGCTTCACACGCGAAAGGTCTCCGGTTCGATCCCGGACGGAACCAAGCGCCGGAGTGTTTTATTTTATCCCACGGAATGCGTTGCAGGGTGAATACGCTATGGGAAATTTACGCAGGGGATAATTCTTATTTTTATTGTACGCTTTACTTTAATCACGTGCATAATATATGGCAATGTATACTAATTTAGGTACAAGCTTTAAATCTGTCTCTTTAATTCAAGACGTTCCACCCATTGTGCGGTTCCGTAGTGTAGTTATATCACGTTCGCTTCACACGCGAAAGGTCTCCGGTTTTGATCCGGACGGAACCAAGCCCGGGTGTTTACTTTTATCCCACGAATGCGTTGCAGGGTGAATACGCTATGGAATTCACGCGAGGAAAATTTTATTTTTAGTACGCTTTACTTTAATCACGTGCATAATATATGGCAATGATATCTAATTTAGTGTACAACTCTTCAATTCAGTCTCTTTAATTCAAGACGTTCCCTACCCCTTGTGCGGTTCCGTAGTGTAGTGGTTATCACGTTCGCTTCACAGCGAAAAAGGGCTCCGTTTGATCCCGGACGGAACCAAGCCCGGAGTTTTATTTTATCCACGGAATGCGTTGCAGGGTTTAATACGCTATGGAATTCACGCGGGATAATTCTTATTTTGTACGCTTTACTTTAATCACGTGCATAATATATGGCAATGATAATCTAATTTAGTGTACAAGCTTTAAATCTGTCTCTTTAATTCAAGACGTTCCCCACCTTTGTGCGGTTCCGTAGTGTAGTGTTATCACGTTCGCTTCACACGCGAAAGGTCTCCGGTTCGATCCCGGGCGGAACCAAGGGCCCCGGGGTGTTTTACTTTATCCACGGAATGCGTTGCAGGGTGAATACGCTATGGAATTCACGCGAGGATAATTCTTATTTTTTTTGTACGCTTTACTTTAATCACGTGCATAATATATGTCAATGATATCTAATTTAGTGTACAAGCTTTAATTTTGTCTCTTTAATTCAAGACGTTCCCTACCCATTGTGCGGTTCCGTAGTGTAGTATTATCACGTTCGCTTCACACGCGAAAGGTCTCCGGTTCGATCCCCCACGGAACCAAGGGCCGGAGTGTTTTACTTTTATCCCACGGAATGCGTTGCAGGTGAATACGCTATGGAATTCACGCGAGGATAATTCTTATTTTATTGTACGCTTTACTTTAATCACGTGCATAAAATATGGCAATGATATCTAATTTAGTGTACAGCTTTAAATTTTGTTTTTAATTCAAGACGTTCCTACCTATTGTGCGGTTCCGTAGTGTAGTGGTTATCACGTTCGCTTCACAAGCGAAAGGTCTCCGGTTCGATCCCGGACGGAACCAATGCCGGAGTGTTTTACTTTATCCCCCGGAATGCGTTGCAGGGGTGAATACGCTATGGGAAATTACGCGAGGATAATTTTATTGTACGCTTTTTCTTTAATCCGGGATAATATATGTCAATGATATCTAATTTAGTGTACAAGCTTTAATTCTTTTCTTTAATTCAAGACGTTCCCCACCTATTGTGCGGTTCCGTAGTGTAGTGGTTATCACGTTCGCTTACACGCGAAAGGTCTCCGGTTCGATCCCCGGGCGGAACCAAGGGCCGGAGTGTTTTACTTTATCCCACGGAATGCGTGCAGGGGAATACGCTATGGAATCACGCGAGGGGATAATTTATTTTTTGTACGCTTTACTTTAATCACGTGCATAATATATTCAATGATATCTAATTTAGTGTACAAGCTTAAATTTTGTCTCTTTAATTCAAGACGTTCCCTACCTATTGTGCGGTTCCGTAGTGTAGTGGTTATCACGTTCGCTTCCCCGCGAAGGTCTCCGGTTCGATCCCGGACGGAACCAAGGGCCGGGGTGTTTTACTTTATCCCACGGAATGCGTTTTCAGGGTGAATACGCTATGGAATTCACGCGAGGGGGTAATTTTATTTTTTTGTACGGGTTTACTTTAATCACGTGCATAATATATGGCAATGATATCTAATTTAGTGTACAAGCTTTAAATCTGTCTCTTTAATTCAAGACGTTCCCTACCTATTGTGCGGTTCCGTAGTGTAGTGGTTATCACGTTCGCTTCACACGCGAAAGGTCTCCGGGTTTGATCCGGACGGAACCAAGGGCGAGTGTTTTACTTTATCCCGGAATGGGTTTCGGGTGGTAGCTTATGGGAAATTTACGCGGGGATAATTCTTATTTTTATTGTACGCTTTACTTTAATCACGTGCATAATATATGTCAATGATATCTAATTTAGTGTACAAGCTTTAAATTTTGTTTTCTTTAATTCAAGACGTTCCCACCTATTGTGCGGTTCCGTAGTGTGTTTATCACGTTCTTCACGCGAAAGGTCTCCGGTTCGATCCCGGACGGAACCAAGGGCCGGAGTGTTTTACTTTATCCCACGGAATGCGTTGCAGGGTGAATACGCTATGGAATTCACGCTAGGGGATAATTCTTATTTTTATTGTACGCTTTACTTTAATCACGTGCATAATATATGCAATGATATCTAATTTAGTGTACAAGCTTTAAATTTTGTCTCTTTAATTCAAGACGTTCCCACCTATTGTGCGGTTCCGTAGTGTAGTGGGTTTTCACGTTCGCTTCAAAGCGAAAGGTTCCGTTCGATCCGACGAACAAGCCAGTGTTTATTTATCCAGGAATGCGTTGCGGTGAATACGCCATGGAATTACGCGAGGGATAATTTTTTTTATTGTACGCTTTACTTTAATCACGTGCATAATATATGTCAATGATATTAATTTAGTGTACAAGCTTTAAATTTTGTCTCTTTAATTCAAGACGTTCCCTACCTATTTGCGGTTCCGTAGTGTAGTGGTTATACGTTCGCTTACACGCGAAAGGTCTCGGTTACCGGGCGGAACCAAGGGCCGGAGTGTTTTACTTTATCCCACGGAATGCGTTGCAGGTGAATACGCATGGAATTACGCGAGGATAATTCTTTTTTTTATTGTACGCTTTACTTAATCACGTGCATAATATATGCCCAAAGATATCTAATTTAGTGTACAAGCTTTAAATTCTGTCTCTTTAATTCAAGACGTTCCCTCATTGTGCGGTTCCGTAGTGTAGTGGTTATCACGTTCGCTTCACACGCGAAAGGTTCCGGTTCGATCCCGGACGGAACCAAGAGCCGGAGTGTTTTACTTTATCCCACGGAATGCGTTGCAGGGTGAATACGCTATGGAATTCACGCGAGGGGATAATTTTATTTTTATTGTACGCTTTTACTTTAATCACGTGCATAAAATATGTCAATGATATCTAATTTAGTGTACAAGCTTTAAATCTGTCTCTTTAATTCAAGACGTTCCCCACCCCATTGTGCGGTTCCGTAGTGTAGTGGTTATCACGTTCGCTTACCACGCGAAAGGTCTCTGGTTCGATCCCGGACGTAACCAAGCGCCGACATGTTTTATTTTATCCCACGGAATGCGTTGCAGGTTGAATACGCTGTGGAATTCACGCGATGGAACAGTTCTTATTTTTACTGTACGTTTTACTTTAATCACGTGCATAATATATGGCAATGATATCTAATTTAGTGTAGAAGATTTAATTCTGTCTCTTTAATTCAAAACGTTCCCTACCTCATGTGCGGTTCGGTAGTGTAGTGGTTATCACGTTCGCTTACCACGCGAAAGGTCTCTGGTT